AATCCAAATCACCGGCGAAACATTCATAAGTGATTGGTCCTAGCGTACTCAATGTCATTTGCGTGGTTAAAAGTCTAATTTTGTAACACTGAAGCGTGCCAAACAATAACATACCGTCGTATCCAAAAAGCCACTCCCTTGGACATTCATTTAGTTCAGAATTTGGATAGATCCCAAAACACTTCGCTTGCATCATGTGCAGAACATCTCTAGTTACGTAGTGGGAAACAGGAGTTTTTTTTTGAAGCGATGCCTTACACAAATGAACCAATGTGTATAGCGAAATCTAATTATTAGTATTTTCAAATTGGTTGGAGAAACCGTATTCTTATTTACTCAGAGTAGTCGCATGAATGACGATCTTTCTTGCTTCCCTTAATCTCACATTTCGCTGTGGTTGTTGTATCGTCTTATTTAAACAATATTCGCAGATAATAAAAAAAATAAGAAGGCGAAAATGAGAAGGATGAAAGTTTACAGTATGGAAAACATTTCCTTAATCATGTCCCACTGGTCGAAAATGTCCCTATTCAATGCTAAGATTACGACAGGTAATACGAGCATATTTAATATTATCGTTGTCGGCTTGAAGATCTACTTCAATATCAATGAAGAGACGTGTAGTACGATTAGGTTAGGGTAGGTCAATCACTGGTATAACGTTCAGCTTTTAATTGAGAGCTTTTTCTGAGAGGCCGCTAAGACAAAAGGTGGCTTTCCACCTGATCGGGGAGGTAGGCGCGTTAGTTTGCGTAGTTAAAGCGAGGAATCCAGGGGCGTGTAATCGCCCGCGATCCTCGTTCTCGGCGAGTGTGGCTCCCGGGGGGTGGCCCGGCGGCGGCGAGCTTCGCCCGCGGGCGATTTTCCGCGTGGCGCGCGCTGGGCGGCGGCCAGCGCGGGCGATGGGCGTGTAATGGCGCGCGCCTGCCGCGCTTTCTTTTCTGCCGCCGACGCGTCGCGACGAGTCGCGAGACGATCGCAGGTTGCTGCCCCTCGACAAGCGGCCGCTTCTCCCGCGGCTCCGCGCCGCTTTAAAAATACGGCTCCCAGCGCCGACGCCGCGCGTTCAAAGCCCTCGTAGCGCCGGTGCGTTTGAAGAGCTCCTGAAGAGGTGGAGGAAGTGGCGTGACGTCACGGGAGGCTCAAGTCGTGGACTTTGAAGAGGGCGGCGCATGGGATGATTTTGTAGAACTATGGATGATTTGGTGGAACTATTCCTATTCGTGTGCACCTGTACGTCTTTCCCCTTACGAGTTTGTCAAGTATTGTATCGAGAAACCTAGATTTGATTCTCTTTGATAGCCGCGTTTTTTTCTAATTTACTATGAGAGGTTTCTGATTGTAAGGAGTGTTTGAGAAGTGTGTTAATTTTTCGTTTTTCTTCTATGTAGATCCTTTAATTTTGAGCAGTTCTTTTCCTTGGAATTTGGCTTTAGTGCGCATAAACCTTCATTAGATTATAGGTGTTGATTTATGAAATGTGAACTGAAGTAAGTTCTCTCAATTCTATGGTCGGGTATTTTAATAATCCATATTCAAAATCATTAATGAAGTCAATCATTAATTGTACTACTTGGATATTTAATTCCAATTACAAATTGTATTCTTTGTTGTAAGTTGTTTTTCAATAGATTTTGGTTGCTGAAGAATTCTATGTCAGTGAAGTTTCTGTGTGTTGATGTATTTTCTAATTCATATTTTCTCCCAAAACTTTGATGACTGGCTCTGAAAAACATTGGCCTTGGGTTTCTTTGGTGCCTTATAAACAGTTTCCGATAACGTCCGTTATCTCCTTTAGTGGCTCGAGGTACTTAAGAAAGAACTGCGTCATGGTGAAGAAAGGGAGCCTCCCGTTTGCGACAAAATTACGAAAACAGACTGTTATCTTATCAGTGTAGAATATTTTTGAATATTTAAATCTGAAGCTAACGCTTCCTCCATAGCAATATTATTTTAATACGTAAGAAATTTCGAAAAATCTCGATATATTGGCAAAATGATTAACGTAAATCAAATGAGGTAACGAACTGACCAACAATGATTTATTTCGTACGTGATTTGTTCTCATGTAATAATCGCTTTATGAAAACCGATTTTAAAGTAGATATTCATTCTAACTTGTACGAAAATTAAAACATCTATTCATCATTGCATGTCGTTATCGAATGGAGTTGAAGCAGATACTGAAAGAGTTCATGTTTATACGCGTTGAATGGAAACGCATTATTTCATAGCATCTCCCCTTCAGTGATACACGTTTAAGTATTACCACGTAATTACTTACTTTAAAACTATTTGCTGTTTTTCTTACTGAACCTGACCATTATATTTTGCTTCACTTTCCACATGAAATTATGTTAAAAATAAAGTCTTCAAATTATGCAACAATCTATTTACTTCACCGCCACGGACGACGAAAGAAATCAATGGAAATGCAGTCCGCTTTAACACTAGTGCCCAAATTCTTCGGTATTTTCTGATTTTTGCCTTCACTGTTTCATACTGAAATCATCTTCGAGTTTATTTTCAAGTTCTTCCCACGGAGATGAAGTTGAAATTCACACTTCTTACTTCACAACATACAAATTTACGTCCATTACATACTTTACACATTTACCACCGTGCTTTTTACACGTGTGGAACATTATCTATTAATCTTATTTCCTTATGTAATCCTTCTCTGGCCTTTTCTTTTTTCCTCTATTTATTTCATATTTTTTCTCCCCCTTCCTGCATCATCCTGTGCGACCTGCTTTACTCTATTATATTATATCGTCCTTCTACCGTACCCCCATTCCTTACTAAACCCTTCCTCTACTTGCTCTCAGGTTTCTTTCTCCCCTCACATATCCCACCTTCCTCCCGTCCGCCCAGAACATCGTGCATCTAACATCATTACCTAAAGATCTCTATCCTTAACCTACTATTCTCGTATCTTGTTCCATTTAGATCTATTGCGAATCTTATACGTCCCTCTTTATCTATAATTACGAATTTTCTCAAACTTTTCTTACCATTGTAACTCTCTATCTCTTTCCCTTATTACTTTCTTCATATCTCATCACCCCTCTCGAAGTGTGTCTAGTCCTGTCACCTACCTCATTTTAATAAAGAAATGTTGTCTTTTGTCTTCGCATACTGATTACTTTCTAGCTTCGCCCTGATTGCTTCTATTCAGCGTCATCTTGCTGTCTCCCCACCTCGTCATCTAAAACTTCCTCATATCTCAACGCTATATTCCCAGCCTTCTCTATAATCATGCATTTATTTTCACCACGTGGCGCGGCGTACTCCTTGCCAATCCCTAATGCCATTGTACGAAAGTATCCTAATATCCATCCGCTTTCCTTGCCATCCATCCCCAGATCTCCACTCCACCCAAACACTATCGAAAAAATTGTTCTTCCGCTATCCCACTTAGTATTACATTTCTCTTGATTACCCTTTTCCAAACCTGACTATCCCACCTTTCCTTATTCTCTCTTGTTCCTCAATATTCTTTACGACTTATTCCCGATATCTATATTCCTTAAACTGATTCATGTTGAACCCCTTCCATTGCCATTTCCCTTGAAATCTACTACCTCGACCTTCGTAAAATCATATTACTCTTCTGTACACCGAGTGTCATCTTTCAATCATCTAGATTTTTTTCTAATATTCTTTACACACTACCCATGCATCCAACATCTCTTGCCATAACCATAATATCATCTGCACAAGTTAGGAACCAAATATTCCTCCTTCCTATAACAACACCCCTCTGTCGTTTTTACAAATACCCTTTCAAACGTGCTAAATAAATACTACTATACGAGTATTGAACAATGTGGGAGTCAAGAGGCATCTTTTTTCTAACCTTTATTAGTTAAAAAACTTTTTCTTCTAATTTACGCACCCCAGTGATGCTTCAAGGATCACTGATAATTCATGTGGATTGCAAACACACTAATCGCTGTGTGAAAAAAACAAACATTGGTTAAAATAATTGATGTTTGAATATATAAAGAAAGATCTTGCCCCTTGGAAGTATCTGTGCCGTAATGCATAATAGCATTGCGGGTTGCATACCTTTGCACAGGTCAGGGCGCGCTTAACAAAGGCTTCATAATGCTCCCTCTCGTTACATCTGCGAATTGAGCTGTCCTGTGAACATTGTTTTATCAGCAATTTAGAGAATTGCAAGACCTTTTTAGGTGTTACGGAGTACTTTCTCATTTCACTTCACATAAATATATTTAAAACTGTGATGTGCGTGAGTGATTTCATCGCACTTGCATTTTACATAATTAAGGAATGAAACTCTTCATACGGTTATCATTAAATAATATCTAATAATGCGTGTAATTTGCGAGGTAGTTCTGGAGTATCTGTTGTGCAAATCGAAATAGAGCCAAGATATTGATGTATCTTCTAAATCGTGTATTCGGATTTTAATAATTATTCTGAAGCGACTAAATTGAGTTGAATATAACTAAAAACAATATTGAAATTCGTTAGCATTCATTTCTCTCTTACAACAATACAAGCAAAGGTCAAGAAACATATTGAAGCTCGAACAACCTGAGTTAAAATCTCATTCATCGTAATCAGTTATGTCGTAATAAAAGGAAGCTAGTGTGTTCTGTTCAGCGATCCATTGAAAATGCTTTACTATAATGTGCTGTTCTTGAATTAAATGTGCTTACGGTTTAAGCTCTTTCGAAACTTCTAATGACATAAAAATAGTGCATTAACAAGAACACATAAACAAGAGTGCGTTAACATTTTCTTGTTACGTACTTTAAAGTAGTATTAAAGAGTTCCCGTGACACGGGCACATTGCACTGCTGCCTGTGGCGTGGACCTGTGGCTTCCTTTCGCTCGGCACCTCGCGGGGCGCTTGGCGCAGAGTCGCGCCGCGCCGTGCCGCAGCCTCCGCTGCAGGTCTGTCGCCACGAGCTGCTCCTCTCCCTCAAGGGCGGGCCCTTCACCCCTCGCGTGCTGGCATCTCCCGGCTCGACGGCAGCCCGCCGCATCGTCCACTGCCAAGCGACGGCGATGGGAATAAACAATACATATCTTGCGCAACGTCACCCCACCGCCCGTGGGCTGAATGGCTGGGTGTTTGGCTCTTGAACGGAATATTCTTGTGCGTCGACAGGCGGGGTTTCTTTAGCAACGTTCATTAATAAGGTGTGTTAAAATGTACGATTAATAGTATCCGTTTTAAGGGAGGACATGATTTAACGCATTCCGCAGCCATCTTGAAGACTTCATTTGCAGGGGAATTGTAGGGGAATTTTTGTCCGCAGCTAATTATCAGGCACGCCTGAGTTAAATTTTAGAACTCGATGTATTTGGGATTAGATTGGTTTGTGCTGTTCTTGATCCTGCCTCAGATGTAGTTTCATCATGTACGCGCGTTTTTCCATTCTTCATTTTTTCTCATCATTTTCCTTGGATATTAGCGAAATGGTATCGTCTATTTTGTATGATATTAGCTTTTATGGTTTAGATCTTTTCTAGGATGATTTGCTCTAATTTTTTCTATTCCACGCTCCGAATTCTAAATGTTTCTTTTGCATTTGTAATACCATTGCCCATTGAATCCATTGGCTCATCCCTGAAATGGGTTGAAATTGCTTGATTTTTTCGTGTCTCCCTTGAAATTTCCAGCATTGCTGGTACATTTTTGACTCACGTATTTTGCTCCGTGCGGCTTTTCCCTGCCAAGCGATTATGAAATCCGATTATCACGTGGATTGCGGAAAAAATTAATTTTGCCGGGCATTTAGCCTGAGTTCTTTGTACGAGTAATGTGCATATCTACCGTGCCCACTATCGATACTCCTTCCTACAAAGGTCCATGAACCCACTCACGATTCCGTTTTCTGGGGATTGAGATACCAGTCAGCTAATCACTCGTTTTTGTTTTTGTTTTTTGTAGAAGCGCACGAATGTGAAATGTATATAGTTTTTATTAAAACGCTTGGTACAATGTGTTATGTTGTTTATCCGCTTTGATTGTTTCAAGCCAAACTTTAAGAAACTGATATTAGTTTCGTAATAAAAAATTATTAGACCATTAGTGGGCCATCATCTATGGCCACAGATTTGGTTTGGAGGATTCTCATTCCGTACACAATTTCTTTCAATGAAAGCGCCTGAATTATCTACTTGTTGAGAAACGATTACTTTAAAAAAATGTATCTTGGGAATATTTAGCAATTAAATAAAACGATTGAACTTTTTCTTCTTCTCTTGTAAGTACGTTATCTATTAATTCGAAATACATTTTATGAGCATTAGTATGTCACTTTTTCGCAGTATGAATTCTCAAATTTAAACGAAAATATTATAGTACAATGCAATTGTTTCGAAGTGGATAAAAAGTTGTACTACTCGTATATTCATTTGTATTATCTTAGGCGAGTTATTACATCGCGTTAGTACAACACTTGATGTTATCGAACTCGATCTAGCGGCCTCGTTTGGTAATTCTCCAACCTCGTATTGCTACTAGATGTTATTTCAGTTCTTATTTCACAAATGACTACTACACTTTCAAGTCGCTATAACGTGTGTGGTGTTGGGTGTGCTTGCAGCCCACGTACCAGAACCAGCGCGTGGTGCACGAGACGGTGACGACCACGACGACGTCGTCGTCGGGGCGCGGCGGCAAGGGGTCGTCCAGCCTCAACAACAACCTGTCGGAGCTGGACACGCTGCTGCAGGACCTGAGCAGCGCGCGCTACGCCTCCGCCTCCTCCTACGACCAGCGCCGCGGTGAGTGCCGCTGCCCGTCTCTTCTAATGATTCATTAATTAATTTCATCGGAAACCCTGTGTTGGTCAAGGGCGATTAGAAAAGGGGAATTTCACGCGTTTAAAACATTCAGAATAGTAGACATATTAAAAAATTAAACTATTTATAAGAATTTTAGAAAAACGTGTGCATAACATTTTAAAAGTATTCTTTAAATATTACAATTTTTCATTTATTAAAGACATGTAATTTATTATACGTGAAGTCAATTCTACAATTTCGTGATGGTATAGCGCCATCCGTACATTTTAATATGATTGGGAAGCTGGTTTCTTTCAATGAAAGCGTCCGAACTGTATATTTGAGTGACCATTAAATAATTTTTGGGGCTATTTAGCAATTGTAAATAAAACGATAATATTTTTTTTCTTTTCCTGATAGTACTTTATTCGTTAATTCCAAATACCTTTTTATATAGATCACCTAGCAGAAAGGATTACTAGTATGAAAGCTTTTTAGTAGAGTGGGAGGTCAAATTTACATCAGAAATTCAGTATCAGTCGCATAGTTTATGTTAATTCAATATCATTCACACAGTTTATGTTATTTCTGTATCAGTCACATAGTTGTTTTTTTAATTGCTATATTATTGATTCGAAATTAACCTTAGAGACAAACATGATTGAAACGCGCAGTAATAAAGAAAGTGTTGATCGGTAATGTCACCAAATAGCATGCGGTGTCTTGTAGAAATACATTTTGTTGCATTGGCCTTAAAGGAAATATTGAGAATTAAGTTCTACGTTTCGTAGTCACAGTGCAGAGTTGAGTTAAGGGGATGCAGTGTGTGAGGATTGGCTGTGTGTGGCAGACGCGTCGCTGGTGAACGGCAGCGTGGGCGCGCACCCGCAGCGGCCGCCCAGCGCGCAGGACGGCGCCCGCGCTCGCCCCTCCGTCGACAGCCTGCTCGACGAGCTCAGCGCGCCCAATGGGTGAGTCCTCTTCTCGTTGCGCTTTCCATTATGCGGCTCGGAATCTACATGAGTCGCAAATACAGACGGTTCGGAATAAACGTAACAAACTTCTACGGAGAGGGGTCAAAGATGATCAACTGTTTTGCCAATGAGTGTGGTGGAAATATTATAATGACATCTCTGGCATGGCGGCCCTTATTGGCAGACAAATCACCTTGTACGTGTGTTTGGTAGATACATAAATTCTCAGGAGGACGTCTTGCACATTGGCAACGACAATTTAATGTTCTAGTGTTCATTGTTGAGCGTGGTGGGATGTCAGAAATGTCGCATGTTAAAAGTTTGTTACATGACATTTCCTACCTCATGTTCAGTGGCAGAAAATGATTTTTAAAACCCTCCTACATCCCCTAGAAGTTTGTAACGTTTGTTCTGAACCATTCTTTAGTTACTTCTTACAATGCTCCTCCCGATCCCTATCATCACTTCTGCTTTTAATCCCAGTACCCTTTCCAGGGACCCTCAATTGCGAGCCGACGTCTTCCCTCTCATTAAATCATGAAAATTATTCTACGTGCCTTAATACATTCTGGTAGTGGTCTATAATTTTATGAACTATTTGTTGACCGTCTTCTTATAGCATCCCGTCGACGGAAAAATCAAAAACAAAATGTTGCTGTTTTTTCCCTGACGAAAATGCATGGTTTTTCTGTGGTACGATGTCTCTCTTTCTGCTCGTACAGTATCATAAAGCTATATCCCTTAATTTATTCTCTCTTAAGAATTACATTTCGCGTAACGTTTCATGGCCCAATTACGAAACTTATATTTTGATGTTTGTAGAGGAATACATTTTTGTATCTTGTCATTCCAAGATGACCTAAGCCCGTGATTACAAAAGAATCCTATCTTATCGTGTTTTCGGGACATTAAATCGGCCTCATAGAATCTCAAATCTAAAGCTGATGAAATTGGCTTTAAACTAGTATCTGAAGGATTTCAAGTTATTTACTCTGGCCTATTGGAATGATAACACACATTTGGTGGACCTAACCAAGACCCTTCATTACGAAATAGAAAGTTGTGATAATTTGTTGCCTTGTCCAGAAGTCAAGTAATCTACTTTTAACACCGAGGTATCGCATTTTGAAGAAAGAATCGAAAAAAAATGTGAAAAATTAATCACTTGTTGAAAATGTTCGTAGGTTTTCGGTAGGTTCTAACCATTTTGTTTGTGATGGCCATGGGAACTAAAGGAGAATGTGAATAAATGGCAATGTTGATTTCATTTTCGTTGCCTTGTCATCTCGTAGGGTTTTAAGAAGAATTAAAAGTTAAATGTTAGATTTAAAAAGAATGACTGCTGGACGTGTGATTTCAATGTGTGCATTTCTGCAGTTTTAAAGTAGGCTTACGTTCACAAGGCAACAGTGACTTAACGGTAGTATTAGAATCTAACAAGTAGAGTACGAACTCGAAATATAAGATATGAATTATTCAAATGCTGAAAGGCACATGCAGTAGGGTGCATCACGCACCTGGAACATATTCCTCCGAGCCACGCTTGGAAGTGCTAAGGATTTCTGGGACGCGATGGGACACTGAAAGAGACGAAGTGCGGGTGTTGAAATCGCGCGATGGCCGGCCGTCGCGTGCGCGACGGGCTGCTAATGAGGAGAAAGGGAGCGCGCGCGGGGAGGCGGCGACCGCTGGCCGGACGGCGCGGGCGACGCGGGCGCGACGCTGCCGGCCGCGGTCGGCTGTAGGGCGCGCTAATTCGGGCCGAGGCCGCCTATAAGCGCGGCGCGCGGGGGCAGATACGCGCGCTGTTAGCGTTGGCAGCGGGCGGCGGGCGCGCTGGGCGGTGAACACGTGTGGGAGACGGCGGCGGGGCAGGGGACGCTGTCAAGGGAGGGTGTACGCGGGGTCGGATTGATGGCGTGCTGGGAACAAAGGATGTCTGGGGGGTGGGGAGGCGATGAGGGAGGAAAAGTGGTCCAAGAATTGTGGCGGCTCGGGGCAGCAGGCAGACGCGCGCTCAGCGGGTGGGAGGGGATTCCTTGCAGTGGGGCGAGGCGAGCAATAGCTCACGTGTGAAGAGTGCTGGAGTTTCTGGTGGGAGAAAGGGGTATCAGAGAGTGCTAGTAGTTGAGGAGGGTCGGTGAACAGTAAGAATGGTGTTGAGGGGCGGTATGAAGATAGGTACGGCGGCCGTGTTGGTGTGAACTTGCCTGGCAGAGAGGGGTAGAAGGAAGAACAGCGGGTCAAACTAGAAGGTGTGCAAATGTATGGGTTGTTAGAGAGAGCCATATTAAGGGGCAGGGTATTGGAATGGGTGAGGAGGCGTATAGTGCGAGGCGGAGGGAGGGAAGACGAAGGAGGAGAGCGGGTGCTACAAGAGAGTGTGCTAATGTGTGGGGTAGCGACAGCATTATTGTGGGTCGGGGTATGAAAATAGATGCGACCGTCACGTGGGTGCATTGGTGCCCAGGGCGTGGCGGAAGGGGTTGCAGCGGATGTAGATGTGGGTTCCGAAAAGGGGTGCGTTGGTGCCCGATGCATGGCGGAGTGGTTCGGATGGGGTAGCAGTGGGTGTGGGTACGTGCGTGGTGGGCCGTTGGTGGCGTGGGGGGCGCGGCGGTGCACTGCCGAGGCGGGCGTCTGTGTTCTAGCAGTGAGGCGCGTGCCGCTGCCCATTGGTCGGCCGCCGCCGCAGCGCCGAGGCGGCCGGGCGGAGTTGCGCTCGCTCGATGGCCGATTCCTCCGTTCGACGCTAACTCCGGCGATGGGGTGGCGGGGTGGAGAAGACGAGACAGCCTCGTTTACTTCGAAGTTGGTATAAATTTTACCTGTCTCTTGAATGCTGGAAAGCTGCTAGCTATGCCTGGCAGAAATAAGTGGGCAGGATTTTAACACAGGGTTTGTCGCTTTCAGTTGACCACACATGGTGCTGATGAGAAGGGATATTGTTTAACTATTTAGGGAACATGTTTATTGAGCTGGAGATGCTTAGTGGCTCTTTGGGCTTTTTTATTCGCGTGTCAGGAGTTTTCGTTGTGAATTTTATTAGTGTATAAAATTAAGTTACGTTGGGACAGGAAGAGCTATTTTTTAAATGTGAATTTAACCAAGAACTCTATTTAGAAATTAAATTATCTGAGATATAATTTCCGCTCAGCTGCTTCGTAAGATGGCTTGAGAAAAACCGATTTTTAACGAGCGTGGATAATTGAATTTTTTTGATTACATTTTGTAATGAAACGTATGCGTTTTCAATATGCGTTTAATAATGAATTTTATTGATTTTACGAGTACGTGAATATTTTCCAGTATTGAAGCGTGAAAGAGTCGATGATAAAGGAGGTGTGATTAAAGGCCTGGTTTTTTTTTTCCTGGGCAGGTCAGCCGCAGGTTGTCGTCCCGTTAGTGGGCAGAGAATACTTATTGCGGCGCGAGTGGCGGTGTTTTCCGCCCGCTGGTAGACTTCACGTCAGCTTCCTCTCTCAGGCTTTCGTCACCACGGCCTCAATCAGTCAACCACTTGCAACCCGACAGGTCGCCAGACATGAATGGTAGTGGAGTGCATCTTTGTTTAAGTAAAGGATGAGGATAGAATAATGAAGAGGAAGGAAAGATGGCGCGCGGTCGGTGGTTCGTTTGTTAGGGTACTGCTCTGGCGTCCACCTGGTATTGTTCGGGGCGGCACTGTGGCGCTATTTCGCTTAGCTACACAGCATAACACAGCCCGGCCTGGAATGTATGAAGTGACAGGCGTCGGAACTTGCGTACTCACGTTACAATTATTTGAGCTTATTTATGCCCGGTTTTGGTAGATAATTGTGATAATACAACTTAATCGTGTTTTTTGGTTAAATTGTGATTTTTTTCTGTATTTGGTACTTCATTTTCTTTTCACGGAATTCTTGTCCAATCTTCGCTGATCAAATTCCTCAAGCAAGGTGTACGATTTAATTTATGGTCTGTGTATAAAATATGTTTAATACGAACGTTTACAATTTTGCCGTTCTCATTCTTCTGGGGAGATTAAATGGATACAGCGTCCAATCTTGACCTGTGGTAAAGCGATCGTGCAACAACTGTTCGTCACCGAGAGCGCATTACTGGACGTCGTCGGCGAGTGACGGGCGGCTTCCGCCCGCGCGGCGCGCGCTCCGGTGTCGGCGCGCGGACAGAATTAGCGCGCCGGGGGCAGCTGCAGCCGATCATTGTCCGCTGCAGCGCGCCAGGCGGGCCGCGAAATTCCGACCACGCCCCCGCCTCCCCCGCGGCGACCGCCGGCGACGACGGACGCGCGCCCGCGGAGCGCGCGAGCAAGTGGCTGGGCGGGGCGGGGCGGCGACCTGCAGCTCTCGGGCAGGGCGTTGCGGGTTCTGGGACAGATACACACGGAGCTCGATGAAGTTTTCTCGTGTTCCTTTTTCGCCATTGACTTTCAAATTTACACAATGACCTTTAACTTCTTGCATTGCGTTGCCCTTCAGCTCGGATGTAGGGATTTTATTGCGTTAGTAATCTATAGATTGTTTACGTTATTGACAAGAAACGTCAATATTCACTGTGCAGGTAACAGAATTGAAGTTATTGAGCTCGAAACTCAAGACTCTTCTTAAGACCAGTTGAATATTTGGACCTTTTCTGAATGTTACATTAGACTTGGGAAAGAGTCGGACGAAAACCGTCGATCTATTCCGTTTCTTTGTCGTAATTTTCAATTTACCCAACTGTGAGCCATATCCTATAATTCATTGTTTTTACCTACCTTACATCCTTGCACTTAAAACACATTCACAAAAGGTCCAAATATTCAACTGGTCGTAAGAACAGTCTTGTGTTTCCAGCTCGATAACTTCAATTCTGTTACCTGCACAGTGAATATTGACATATCTTGTCAATAACTTTAACAATCTATAGATAACTAACGCAATAAAATATTTACGTAGCATTGTTTCTATTTTTGTTTAATATTCTGTCGCTTGTTCACCACCTAAAGAAAATTC